GCCTCGAAATGACTCATCGTCAATTTTATTTTATTGTAAACGGCAAACGGCATTTCGTGCTTCAGCATCGTGAAATTATTAGCTCAGTCGCGTGCACTTTGTATCATCGAAACTGTACTGTGGGTTCCGAATAGATCTGATAGTGGGATTGTATACGAATAATGGTATGACGGACCGAAGCATCTATTACGCGGGTCGAAATGACTCCTATCGATCACGAAATATTAACAATACGCAAAGTCAAGTCATGCTCCGTAATGAAGGTAATAGAAAATTTCAATTCAATTGTTTCGCCTTCTAAAGACGCTAGAAGCGATGTACAATTTCGATTTGAGCTTTCCTTTGTACTGTCAGATGAATGATTTTTTTATATTATATACAGTAAAATGGTTATATATTTTGAATTAAGAGATAAATATAAAAGTTAGCCTGTACTAAGTATGCACAAAATAATAAAAGAAGTATATAGAAATTCCTACCAATTCCCTAGAATTCCGTATTTGTATAACCTTACCAATTTTTTGTTTTCTCAAACGCTTGGTGTCATTGACATAGGCATTAGAACGTCAGTCTATGTTAAAACCTTCGCTAGAGTACAACGCCACCTATTAAACAGTCGGAAAATTACCGCCCACTTAGTCACTTAACAGATTAAATCTGCTAGCAAAATCAATTCGTAAGAGTGCACACTTCACGACGATATTTAATCTGTTTTCGAAGACAGTCTTCAACCTCGCGATACGGGCTAAGTTTTTGGTCGTTGCTCTGAAATATTGATGAGGGAGCTGGTTTCGTCTCGCGCGAGCTCGTTCGGCTGTCTCACGCCATCCCGCCGATGGCTAATGAGTTTTATCGCTACGCGGAGAATACGAAAGTTTTCGGGGATGGCCGCAACGTTATCAGAGATCGCGTGAAGGCTCGTGTGCCCGGGGTCAATGACCGGGCACTTGTATGTCTTAACTTAACCGCCCTGGTACGTAATAAGGTGAACGGAATCATTCGGTTCATTTGGTATACAAATGACAGATTGTAGAGTTTTGTAGAGCAAATTTTAGACGCGATTATGCGACATGAATATTATATTCCGCTGGTATCAAATATATTTGACAACTAAAATGAGGACCCGATTGGCGTAGTGGGTAGTGGACCGATCTGCTGTGTGAGAGGGTGTCGGTTCGATACTACTACTGGAAGAATATTGTGTGATCAACGTAGTGTTTTTCCAGTGTCTGGATGTTTATATATATACAAAAGAAAATTATGTTTATCAGATACCTAGTATCCATAGTACAAGCTTTGCTTAATTAGCGACTAGATAACATTGTGTAAAAAAAAATTGTCCTGAAATATTATTTAACGACATATTTGAATGGTAACGCTTCCGATGCTAACACTTCTAATTTTAATCTCGACAGAAGTCATGAGTGAAACAACTTAGTGATTTGAGAAGGCAAACATTGTTTCCAATCTCTTTTTTGTAACATAAATCATAAGAGCCCAGTTACATCTGTTACAATCTCGGCTATCCTTTAGCCGGTGAGCAATAGAATCGGATTCCCATGTCGTCGACGTCACCCATCCGGCGCGGTCCATTAGACAGATCGCTCCCATCTGATTTACTGCACATGTTGGACCTTTTTATCGCTCGCATCAATTCGTTTCGTTCACAAACGCAATAATTATCGGCGCAAGCGACATTTATTAATAGAAAATGCTAACAGTCTTCGCTATTTCCGAACGGTCGTGCATTCTACGGGTACATGAAGAAACTCGTTTTTTATATTTTCCTAAACCACACATCTGCCTGTCACGTCCGTTCATTTGGATTCTAATGGGTTAACGAATCGCCTTACTATTTAAGCATTAATTTAATGATTAAACATTAATAGAAACGATAGATATTTTAAACATTCGAAAAACTTAGGCCCTTATTATTCGAGACAAGCATCGTACAACTGGACACTTGTGTATATAGACAGTAAAGCAGTCGGATTTTCACCGGTTTCCAGGCACCAGAAGCCGCTTCCGCGTAAGTTTGCGGTCAAGAGGCGATAAACTATTTGCAGAAGCCACAAAACTGAATTCCTAACTGTGTTTTGAGTGGGGTATATTGACTACCGGACAAGAGTCCTTCCGACGAGGAATGAACGAAAAAGTTTACCGACACGATATCACACTGTATATAATACAGATCCGTAAAACGTATTTACAGGGATATAATTAATAATAATGTATGCAAACGTTAATTAACACTTAATTTATATTAAATTAGTTCCTTCATAGTTCGACCATAACTGCTTATTAATAAGGATCCAATCGAATCGTTATTATGCAAAATAATACCCATATAAGCATTTGCTTATTACTTTAGTTGTTATTTTTTTTATTTTATTAGGCGAGATCCAATATCTATCGAAGATGTTTTGATAGCTGTAGCCAACAGAACCGGATGAAACTAAAAACTAACCATAACTAAAATGAGCTAACATTCCTAAAGAAGTTATAACTAGTCTTGTACTTTAATATAAATCGATATCTAGAAATGTTAAAGTTTATTTCTTATTGAAAAATATCACAGCTTAGATTAATTTTAAGCACCGGGAAGTTCTCAAAACGATTGCACTCCAACCTACTTGCATTTATATTCCGGATGTTATTAGTTCTGGACCACGCTTCGTTACGTAAAGATAGTGAACAGTGCAGTCTTTTATGTGATGCTTGATTAAAAACCGAAGCATCCGCAGCATGTAACCATAGCACTATAAAGAACATATACAAACATTAATAAACTTTCAAAACTAGAAGAGTGAAGAGTATGAATGTGGTTCGAGGGTTTGAAGGAATATTTGGATAGACTGTATGAAGAAATATGTCTACGAAAGAGGTGAGTATTGAGATGGTGGCTGATAGAGAAAAGTAGAATGACAGGACATGTTGTGCCATCCCCAACTCGTGTGGAATAAGGGCAAGAGAAAGAAGAAGAATAAACTAATCGTGACTAGACGTCTAGACGTAAAAGCCGTTTATTAATACTGTTACAGTTGGAAAACGCTTTTACAAGTGTCAATGGGCAGCTGTGATCATTTATTATCAGGTGAGTCACTGGCTCGTTCGTCTCCTTTTAAAAAGTTATTGTAACACTCGGAGCCTTCAAAGGTACTAAGTCAGTGTACTTTATTACATCACAGTCGGAAGCTATACTTGGAACTTTTACATCGTGACAATGGGACGACACGGATAGACGGAAGCGCGTCGGGCGCGCCGTTTGACGATTAATAATCGTGATTTCTTTTTTTCAAATATACAAAGTGGGCGCGCACCGAGGTGGGTGTACGTAGTCCATTGTGAGGCCACAAAGCCGAAATCGCTCGCAATGGCCTCCCGCGTGCGCCTAACAAATGCATGCGCGCGCGCCGCTGGGCGCGATTGTGCGAGCGTGCAACGCATTGAATAATGGATCACTCCCGCTTCATAAAAATGCCCACTATTCTGCGCACAATGGTACCGATGCAGTTTCGGAAACAGGCCGAAAACGAAACCGCGTATCGGGAGGACGGCGGCAGAAGCTCTTTAGCATTGAATTGCCATTCGCGATGTACGGACTGAGAGCGGTGTTTCAGTTTCATCTGCAGTTGATTCTGTCGCGACGCTATAGCAACTGGCGGTGTCCAAGAAATATGGTAGTGCGTTTTTTTATGTGAGATGGTTGAAGATGCCTTGCCATCTTATAATAAATTGGGCCCCGGCTACTTTATTCACCAGACGAAACGTAGAAGTAGGTAATCCCCGTGAAGTGGAAGTACAACACCTCCACTTCACGCCGGTCTTTTGTGGGTTGTTATCCGGACGAACCTGCCCATTGGTGCAACAGCAAATACCGTTGAATGGACCTACCACGATTTTGCAATTTGTCTGCATTCGTATATTTTGTCTTAACATACATTGCCCTTACTGCGCAACAATATCCTGTGTTGCAAGAACGTTATACGTACACAAATTTCACGTGGACAACCTTCACGATCCGAAACAATGATCCGTGTGTCAGAAAGAAATATACTTGTTCCGTGTGCGAATCGAACACACGATTTTTGCTGCCGAAGCCAATAGCTTGGCATCTGCGCCGCTGAATCTATACTGTTAAATAAAACTAAACAGCAACCATAAGCCCTATAAATCGTAGCTTATCGACATTCCATACGTAAATCACAGGAGCGAACATTAAATGGTAAAAACCGGGTTCAAAGGAATTCGACGTATTTTAAAGTAGACGATTAGAACCACTAACGGTGGTACATTACTAAATGCCAATGTATATTATCATATTATAGACGCAGCCCATTTAATGTAGTAAGGCCTAAAATAATCTATGATTCAAAGTGAATTCATCATTGATTTAGTTTGTAGTATTAAAAATACAAGAAATCGATGTAAGTGTGTGTATACACACTTACATCGATTTCTTGTATTTGCGCGAGTACTAACTACACTTAAATAAAACTACATAGATACATGATTTTAATTAACATTTAATTAAAACGTTTATTTTGGTCAGATAATGGCATAGATAGGGTTAAATATTTACTTTAAATAATCACTAAATTCCATTACATAAAGATGACAGTTGAAAGTTCAATAGCCTCGGCCACTCCCGCGACCTGTACGCGATAAAAACTGTAAAATAATTTATTAATAATTATTCGCAGACTTACGCCCGGTTTCTGAAACACTGATCATCGTAGAAGTAACTAATCCGCTGTCAAATGGCTTTCCAAATGTCGTTTAAGTTGCCAAAAGGATGAAACTCTTTGAATTGATCATTCTGATCATTAAGAAGATCATTCTGATCAATTCAAAGAGTTTAACCATCCTTTTGGGCAATTTAAATAACATTTGAAAAGCCATTTGACAGCTGAATAGTTAACTGATGATCAGTGTTTCAGAAACCAGGCGTCAATAGCTCGTTGTCGGATCGAAGCACTCGCTGGATGCTTACACCAAGCATGTCGGAACCTAATAACCCCCCTTCCTTCCAGCGACAAAGTGCGGTTGGTAGGAACAAAGGGCGTCACTTCCTATCAGCTGCCGCGACGCCCCACGTTCTACGGCTTCGGGGTAACGTTAACTTTTTATCCGCATGCGAGTTAGACCCGAAAAAACCCTACCAACGCACGCACGTAGAAGATTATTACGGTACGGCGTAATATTTATTACCCGCACATATTATGCACTATAAAGTGTTTTTTTTTTGTACGCACGAAAAAAGGAAACGAAGGAAAATATATAACCCTGACGAATGAATTTATAATATCCCACGAGTATCGATTATGATAATAAGTACTTTTTACATCCTAATATTAGGGATGTTAATATTTTTTGTTACATATCGGTATCGCTTAACCGATATGTAACCCGCTTAATCGTATTATTTACCCCGTACATAAATAAGGGAATTATTAATTTATTTGTAAATATTATTTTTATATGATACAGGTTGCTATTAAGTACTTAAATTCTATGAAAGGTACACCACTCAATACACTGAAGAACTGATGTGATCGTTACTCGGTTGGTAGGAACAAAGGGCGTCATCCGATCAGCTGCCGCGACGCCCCACGTTCTACGGCTTCGGGGTAACGTTAACTTTTTATCCGCATGCGAGTTAGACCCGAAAAAACCCTACCAACGCACGCACGTAGAAGATTATTACGGTACGGCGTAATATTTATTACCCGCACATATTATGCACTATAAAGTGTTTTTTTTTTGTACGCACGAAAAAAGGAAACGAAGGAAATCTATATAACCCTGACGAATGAATTTATAATATCCCACGAGTATCGATTATGATAAGTACATTACATCCTAATATTAGGGATGTTAATATTTTTTGTTACATATCGGTATCGCTTAACCGATATGTAACCCGCTTAATCGTATTATTTACCCCGTACATAAATAAGGGAATTATTAATTTATTTGTAAATATTATTTTTATATGATACAGGTTGCTATTAAGTACTTAAATTCTATGAAAGGTACACCACATACACTGAAGAACTGATGTGATCGTTACTCAACTTTTATTTTTATATTCGTAGCTTATCGACGTTCCGTGCCTAAATCACATGTCCAAACATTTATTGGTAAAAAACGGGGTCAGAAAATTCCACGTATTTGAAAGTAGAGAAAACTCTGTTGGTAGGAACAAAGGGCACCACTTCCGATCAGCTGCTGAGACGCCAATCTACTAGTTAATAGAAGTAATGATGAATATTACCTATGAGTGAAAACCTAGACACCAGAGTATATATCTCGACTTACTAAACAATTCCGAATTAGTAACGATTTGTAGAAAGAAAGGAACGAATTTGTAAATAGATTTAAAGACTTATCGGTGATCGAGTGGTTAATTTAACCTATAATTTAAATAGGTTTCAAGGTCGAAGAAGCATTAAATTCTTAAGAAGAATAAAACTGAAAACAAATATGTTAATGATTTTGAATAATGCATGTTAGGAAACAACCTAAAACTACCTTTTTCGATTGTTATTAAAACAAGAGCCGATTTTAGAAAGCTATAAAACGTATACTTTGCTCCCTTTTACTCCCCTACAATTACCATGTTTGTTCATTAGTGTACAAAGCTATATTTTTAGTTGCGTAATAATTTATGTTCTTTTTATAGGTCACTATTATTCAAAGGTACGATTTGTGACGGAGGTGTCAATTTCTCGCGTAGAATCAAATTGTGTCAGCGAGTTCAAGGAATGATGATTCGAATGAGCTTTGAACTTGTTAAATATTTTTTTTACAAAGTATTAATAACTCCCAATCCGAGAATTTCTCGGCTGTGTAAGCAAATTCATTTTCATCAATTTCGCAACTATTTCAAACAAAAACATTGCATACAAAAAGTAATCCATTTTAAAAGGTACTAACATTTTAATTTTATAGAAATAATGCATTTCAGTTTTGACCAGTGACAAACAAAATAGTATACATGTGATGATATTGTATTAAAAAATATTTAAATACGATAGAATCCGTAGAATGGTTGTTTTAACCTTACGTGAATCATAAATAAGCAAAAAGGGTACCTACTTTAATTATTATAGGTTCCTATGTTGGTGAGTTTAATATTTTAATAACAGGTGTGAATTGAGAAAGAACTGTGAATTGTAACGATATCTTGTCTTATCAAAGATAGTGTTCAATCGAAACGCGATTTTCAACCTTTTGATTTGAAACCCAATATGCGGGCCTTTTTAGCTTAACTAAACCCTAACCTAAACCTTTGTATTTTACTGAATTAAATTTAACTAAAACCCAAAGGTAAGTTTTTTTGATTTTTTAAGCACAATGACAGTTCATGTGAAATGTTACTTAAATTATATTATTTTAATATTATTGCAGCAACTTAATTTCAATGTTAAATACTAAACAGATGGGACTGATCAAAAAAGAAAAGCTGGTATTAAACAATAGATATGTAAAAAGAGCTATGTATTTGCTCCATACTTTGATGACTCGATGGCGCAAAACTATTGGCTTCTTCGCCGCGTTTCAAGGTTTCGTTTTCCACACGGGAGAAGTAATTGTGTGACATACAGGTAATCGTTCCGGTTGTTTGTTCCAAAGGAGGGTTTACGTCAGGAAGGAGGCCGGTCGTAAATAACTAGACAATACCATTCACAACATGACATACATGTTATGCGAAGCTCACCTGGGCAAGATAAAGGCGGGGAGGAGAAAGAAGAAGCTTTTGTCAGTTAGAACAGTTATTGATTCGAACGAAAGATTTTATATTAAGAAAAATTCTTAACTTAACTCAAAATTTACACCAGCTTTAAACCATGAAGTTACTCGAGACAAAGCTACGAAACCGTTACATTGATAGTGAGGATTTGTAACAGAAACTTTAATTAACGGGATGTAACATGTATGCCAAATGAACATGCCGACTACCTTAACACACTTACACACAACTGTTGAATACTGAATTAATTTACGTAACTTAGATTGCTGCACTCAATCTGATGAACTCCAAGGATAGCTCCTGATCCCGACAAAGTGCATTGCTTACGAGAAAACTCCAATCCTGTTAAAGGAAAGCTAAGTCGTGTAAATGGTCCGGGCCTCAACAATTTTCGTAGGTATAAATAACACTAAAATATAACAGGTTAATTTAGGTTATTTAAATCGGTTATGTTTGTTGAAATAATTTTTAATTTCAACAAATATAACCGATTTAAATAATATTTAATAACTGACACAGATACTAGTTAAATAGTTCGGGCGTATTTTTGCATAACATATGATTAGAAAAAAAAATGTTCAGCAACAGATAAGTAGAGTGATATGCTATAAACACGATATATAGAACGTTCTAGAATGTTAATAAACTTTCGTAAATCTCGATATTCAGATGTATTTGTTTCGAATGCTCGAGAAAGCTGCTCATCCGCTAAAACGCGTTAAATTCGCACGAGAGGTGGCGAATTGGCAATTGCGCAATATGTCCGCGGCGCGAGGGGCGCGATAAACGCATTAAGGAATCATCTGACTTACTGCGACACAAGCATCGAAAACGCCATTATTCACGCCCCCCAATAGTTCCCGATCACTTCCGATCCACCCGATGCATTGTACGCATGAAAAAAAAACGAGTAGTATATGACTCGTTTTTTTCACTCCACGCCAATGAACTATTATCTGTTTATTTAGTCTTACGTAAGTACCAAATAGTTAATTTAAGAATTTCCTAAGACATGTCAATAGAGTTCCACTTGACAGGGAAATCAAATTAATGCTAGTTAAGTGATAATCAAGTTAATTAAGTCCCGCCCGAGTGCGGTCGTTGGAAGCGAAACTTTTCATTTCGTAGAATTGCCATCACGGGGCTTTAAATGGATTTGTTCTACTTGGTAACAAAATAAATATAATCATTCGTTTATAATTTGTACACTTAAAAGAAGACCTATAAAAGAAATGTCTGTATATACATATTTTCTACTGCTGGGCAAAGGCCTGCTACATTAGGCTCCGTAGTCCACCACGCGACCCCACCGGCGATGACGGACTTCACATATCTTCAAATTTTTTTATTATGCCGTAAATATGCAGGTTTCCTCACGGCATTTTTTTTTTCATTCCTGAACCTGCGATGTGGAGAATTGCAGAACCTTTTCGGTGTTAAAAGGTAGGAATTGTTCTATTCCTTGAATTACCCTCGTTAGTCTTACGGCCGGTTACTGAAGCACTGATTATCGTAGAAGTCAACTAACTAATCAGCTGTCAAATTGATTTTCAAATGTTATTTGAGTTGCCTAAAGGATTGTTAAAATCTCTGAATTGATCAAAATGGTCTTAATGATTAGAATGATCGGTGTTTAAGAAACCAGGCGTTAGTCTTACATCCCGGAAACACCTGTAATTTTTCAATATAAGTTTTCAATCACATTTAAGGCCCATTTACACGGTGCCAGTTTCTTGCCTGTTGTATACAATTAAATTGAAGCAATAAATGAGTTGCATGGTCTAAACAACAAATGGTCTAACCAATTATTGCGCGCAATTTATTGCATTCAATTATTGCTCTTGTATGTACATGAAAATGACATCGTGTAAATGGGCCTTTATACTGGTAATGCCTGTTCAACAGTTAGCAAATTATTAAATACTGAGGAAGTTTAATTTTTTTATCATTTTAAAATGCCCAAAAGATCAAGATCTTTCTAGAAATAGTTCGCAGGCGAGGACATTAAAAATACGTCATAATGAGGAATCTTTACCGGAAACTGAAAATCGTCTTACAAGTCGGAGAGAGTCAAGTAAAGTGTTTGCAGTGGCTTGAAGAGTATAATAATATAAATATACAAATTCACACTAGGGAATCGAGGTCTAAGCGTTCCCAACGTATACGAGATTAGAGAGAAAGATAACAAACGTCAACGACTAGAGTTCGTGATCGAGCTCACAGTAACAGATCAGCTTTCATGCATTTTGCTCAACAGTCTTCCGTCCAAATCGTAGCCGCGAATAAGATCTGCTCTAAGTGTTCTGCCAAAAATGGATCGATGAACCAAATGGTATGTGCTGTGCTGCTGGAAAAGTTAGTCCCCCCAATATTGAGAAGCCGCCACAACCAATAAAAAACCTTTTTACAAATAATCATTCACCATCAGGTCATTTTTAACCAACATCCGAAAGTACAATAGCCTCTTTCAAATGACTTCGTTTGACGCGAACTTTTAAAATAGAGGGACAAGTATACAAGTTATTATCATCCTCCTGCCCCTATCCCACCTAGGTGGGGTCGGCACAACATGAATCTTGTTGTAAGTGGTTTTGCATATATTTTTACAACCAGCCGCCTGCTTGACGTCAACCCTCCTTGGGAAACAAATACCCAGATCAAATTTCAACTGTGTAACTAACATGGTTCATGAGATACAGCCTGTTGACAAAGGGACAAACAGACAGCGGAGTCTTAGTAATATATATAGCGGGTCCCGTTTTTCCCTTTGGCTTATCCTAAAAAGGCTCCAGAGATATAGTGTTGCACGGTAGACACGGCCAACTTAAAAGGGTCTCTGAGTTACACCGATTGTATGATCCATAAAAATATCCCTTAATAGTCGTAATAGGAGAAGACGGTTAATATTTGACTATTCCTCAGCAAGGTACTGTGAGTAACAAAACTATGACATGCATGCA